AGCGGGAGTCTCATGACGGTGGTAACACGTAATGAGTATCTAGAAGCCAGATAAAGCGAGACGATTAATCGGAACTGGAATAGCAGACAGAGAGAGATTGAAGATATAGACAGATAATCGAGTCAAGCCGTAAGTAAAGTGTGTAAATCATTGTGAATTATAGTGTGTGTGTTTAAGTTAAAGTAGCTGTGAAAATTAAGTGTTTTGCAAAGTTGTATTGAGAAAGAATAAACTAGTTTTATTTAAGAAAGGACTTGTATCGCTGAAGTTCTTCGGAAAGAATTTTTACGGGTAAGTAACAAACGACCAGAGACGTAACAGTATTATAAGATAGTTGTTAAGGTTCAAAAAGTATCCTCTATGAAGGGGGAAAGTTGTCATAAACGTGCTGATGTTTGTTTTTAAAGCAAAACTACACAATTGGCTATTTGTAATCTGTTCATTACTGGAAATCGAACGACGGATTTTAGTGTTGTAAAGACCATAAACTTACTGCTGACCCCCTGGGGGTACATACTAATGTTATAATCAAACTTACAATCTGTAAGTTTAGATAAAAATCGTCCAAAGTTTTTTACAAGTTATTTAAACACAGTATAATAGTAAGTACTCCACAATTACCTCCATAGTAGTAGCAGTCTATAATCAACTCCACAGTGAGTGCTCCACAATTAGCTGTATGGTAGTGAGTAATTCACAACAATCAACCTCATAGTAACAATAGTCCATAATGAAGGCTGTATTTTTAGACAGTTCACAATCATCTCTGTAGTTTTGAGTAATCCAGAAACAACCCCCTAGTAGTCAGTACTCCACTATCAGCTCTATAGCAGTAACAGTCCGTAATCAACTCCAGTCAGTACTACATAATCAGCATTGCAGAGTTTGTAATCCATAGTCAGTTCTGTAGTAGTAGTTCACAATATACTCCATGGCTACAGGTGGCTCACGCTCAGTCTCGTTTTGGCAGAGCAAGTTTTTCTATTACTTCTCTTTCATTGTTTTTCTTTTCGTGAATCAATAAACGTGTAAGAGTCTTGAAAGTACTACTTGTTATGAATAATAAATTATCTGCTTGATTTCATTAAGATAAGCTTTTATGGGCAAGATTAAGCCATTCACTTATATTCTCTGGTTATATGTTATTCATTATGAAGGTAGAAGGACACCATCCATGCCTCAAAGATCACGAAAAAAATTCAAGGACACAGTTCACCCATCATATTTCATTATTTATACACATACACATACAATTAGGTCCTGTTTATAGGTTGAATTGGATGGAGAAGTTTCGTTGTTATAGCCTATTGTTGTATTTTCCTCAATCCACCCGAACTGTCTGAGGCCAGCTAGCTCAAGTACACTTTATTTTATTTTATTTTTTGTTCGGGGGGGGGGGTGTAAATAAAGTGAGAGAATATTAGTTCAACTAAAGCCTCTTTCCTTATTAACTATTTGGGGGCTCTGTAACTAAAGTGAGAGAATATTAGTTCAACTAGAGCCTTTTTCCTTATTAACTATTTGGGGGCTCTGTAACTAAAGTGAGAGAATATTAGTTCAACTAGAGCCTTTTTCCTTATTAACTATTTGGGGGCTCTGTAACTAAAGTGAGAGAATATTAGTTCAACTAGAGCCTTTTTCCTTATTAACTATTTGGGGGGCTCTGTAACTAAAGTGAGAGAATATTAGTTCAACTAGAACCTTTTTCCTCGTGACCAGTAAATCTTGTTCCCTAATATCATAATTTTAACTCGTATATAAATTTTTGAAATCAGTGTGAACTTTCAAAACGCTTTAAACTATAATATAATTGTTTTCTCCCCTTTTCACTTGTTTCCCAGATAAGTTTCCGGACTTACAATGCGAAAATCCAGGATCCGATACTCCACGATGGACAGAGTGCAAAAGAACATATTGTTCGGCTTTGTGCTGAAAAGAACATCAAACGTTTTTACTGAATAATTTACGTTATTTTGCAGATAAAGCATCGATTCAAGTGATAGAAAAAACGATATAATTTGTAATATATGTGGAATTTGCAATTTTAATTGATTAAGCAATCTCGTTTCAATTTTATAAAAAAGATAGCTATTTACGTTCTTTGTGTCTCCCGGTGAGACAGCGGTAAGTCTACAGACTTCAACGCTGAAATCCAGGGTTAGAATCTTCGCGGTCGACGCAGCAGAGAGCGCAATGTGCCTTTGCTCTAAATAAAAACAAACAATACGTTCTTTGCACCATTTTCATCATCCGATTAAATTATATTTATAAAACAAATATCTACTGTTACAAAAACGAAAATAAATAAATTGGTGATGTATAACGATCCCTACTTTTCTATTTTATTTTGTCAAACGTCATTTAAGTTTTTCAAAGTTTCGTATAAGTGTTATTGAATTTCGTGTTGATAAACCTAATCATATTGTAATGTTTGGGCTAATAAATACTGTAGTGCATTCAAGTGATCATTTGCACGACATTGTATATATATATATATATATATATATATATATATATTGCATAATATATATATAATATATATAATATATATATAATATATATATATATATATTGC